TTTTTTTTATTGATCAAAATTGAAAGAGCAATATAGAACAGATATCATGGAGCAAGCAAAGCTATTTCTTGTTGAAATACAGCAAGCGGTAGTTTTCTTCATTAATCCTATTTAGTCCCTGCTTGACAACCATTTTATAGGAAAAACATAGTTTTGAATAGTGAGTTTTGGGAGAATGCATTGTTAAAAAGTAGGGAAAAATTTTGAATTTACATGCAGAATATTTTATTGCGTGAATGTGAGGTTGAAAATGAGGACGCAAAAAATGAGTTTTGAAATAATGGTTGTCAAACTGGGGTTTAGTTCCATCTAATGTAACGCACTAAACAAGCCATTAGCAAAAACATGCCATGAATAGCTTGTTCCGAAAATTGTGTAGTTGCCTTAATGAAGAATGAGGGAGAGAGAGAGAGATTAGATAATCAAGGCTTGAATTTTACTCATTTTATTAAGATTTTTTGGTTTAAAAATATGCAAGATTTAAGGTTATCTTGATATTCTTTTGTTGAATTATATCCTGTTTGATATGTTATAAGTTATAACCAAACCCGTCAGAGGATTTTACATTTTTTTTTCCTCGTATTAGAACAAGTTACTATTTCTATGAAACATTTGTACTATATACGAAGCATTTAATATCTGGCTTGAGAGAGAAGTGAGCTGCATTGTAGGATTCTTTCTTTCCATTTCTGTTGGGTGGGAGGGAGGGAGTATTGAGAAATTACAAGTAGGATTCAAGATGAAGTGAAACTATCGAAAGGAATGAAAGAAGATTTGAGTGTGGTTTATAATTTTACTCTAATGCTTTGCCTATAATGTTGGTAGAAATTATTTGAGTGTTACAATGAGTTAAAACCCGGGGTTTTTCTAGAACTTCTGTTTAAACAGTGATGTCTTTGTGAACAATGATAAGGACCCAAAATATTGATAGGGCCATTCTAAGTTGGGATCTGGTTTCCTTCCCAGTTTTGTGCCTTGTGCTGTTAGTCTGTTACCAATTCTTCATTATATGGTTTTGAAATTAAAAGTCTATAAAATGTGTGCCTATTGTTGACTGTACTGAGTTTATAGTACAAAATGCCTGATATATTCAACTGATATATACATTGGTCCTTATTTATTTCTGTTTGGTGTGTTGATCTACCAAGGATCACATAATGCCTCAAATCAACTTATTTTGCATCTCTACTTATCCAACTCCCTTCACCTCCGCTCCTCAATCCCACAGAAAAAACAAAAAACGAAAAACAAAATTTGGCACTATGGGTGGTTGAACTGGTATGATGTTTAATAGTATGTACACCGTAATTATCCTGCAATTTGTTCTAATTGACCCTTTTTTTTTTCTGACTGTGGCTGCCAATNTAGGGGCGCCCCGCCCCGAACCCGTCCCGTTGCCATCCCTATTATAACCAAACCCGTCTGAGGATTTTACATTTTTTTTCCTCGTATTAGAACAAGTTACTATTTCTATGAAACATTTGTACTATATACGAAGCATTTAATAGCTGGCTTGATAGAGAAGTGAGCTGCATCGTAGGATTCTTTCTTTCCATTTCTGTTGGGTGGGAGGGAGTTAGTATTGAGAAATTACAAGTAGGATTCAAGATGAAGTGAAACTATCTAAAGGAATGAAAAAAGATTTCAGTGTGGTTTATAATTTTACTCTAATGCTTTGCCTATAATGTTGGTAGAAATTATTTGAGTGTTATGATGAGTTAAAACCCGGGGTTTTTCTAGAACTTCTGTTTAAACAATGATGTCTTTGTGAACAATGATAAGGACTCAAAATATTGATAGGACCATTCTAAGTTGGGATCTGGTATGAAAAAAGATTTGAGTGTGGTTTATAATTTTACTCTACTGCTTTGCCTATAATGTTGGTAGAAATTATTTGAGTGTTACGATGAGTTAAAACCCGGGGTTTTTCTAGAACTTCTGTTTAAACAGTGATGTCTTTGTGAACAATGATAAGGACTCAAAATATTGATAGGGCCATTCTAAGTTGGGATCTGGTTTCCTTCCCAGTTTTGTGCCCTGTGTTGTTAGTCTGTTACCAATTCTTCATTATATGGCTATGAAATTAAAAGTCTATAAAATGTGTGCTTATTGTTGACTGCACTGAGTTTATAGTACAAAATGCCTGATATATACATTGGTTATTATTTATTTCTGTTTGGTGTGTTGATCTACCAAGGATCACATAATGCCTCAAATCAACTTATTTTGCATCTCTACTTATCCAACTCCCTTCACCTCCGCTCCTCAAGCCCACAGAAAAAACAAAAAACGAAAAACAAAATTTGGCACTGGGTGATTGAACTGGTATGATGTTTAATAGTATGTACACCGTAATTATCCTGCAATTTGTTCTAATTGACCCATTTTTTTCTGACTGTGGCTGCCAATCAATAAGATGGATAATGGACAGTCGTGACGAATATACGGAGGAGCGCCTTGAAGCAATAAACGATGAGTTCAAGCTATATCGCTGCCACACAATTCTGAATTGTGCTAAAGCTTGCCCAAAGGGACTAAATCCTGGGAAGCAAATCCAGAACATCAAGAAACTCGAGATGACTACTCCTTGAGTTCCTGGGAAACATGATGATGTGCATTGATTTTTCTTCTTGATTATGTTGAACGGCCGGTTGAGTATTACAGGGAAATAATGTATGCACTTAATGTAATTTTCTAAGTCTTTCATATCCATTGTGTACCTTAGTTTGAAGTCATTGTTCTAAAAGCTAGATTTACGAGCTATCGTGTATAAATACTTCACTTATTAGTGATTCATCGATGTGATTTCACTGGATTATTTTGTTAGTTTCCTTTGGTATAATTCAGCGAAAACATTCTCTGCATATTAGACATTTTAATGGTTGCATATTGTTTATAACAGAAAAATCGCACTGATGATGTTCTCATGGCTTAAACTTTTCAGCTGTCGTAGTGCATCCTCTTGCCAACACATATTTTTGTAGGATTATGCCATCCCCAGAGAGTTCTGGCAAAATAGAGATTCGTAGGCTCTGTGCCCTGTCCGGCACTGCCGACCCCATGCCTGACCATCTTAAAAGCAGGCTGAGTCGGTATGCTGTGCACATCTACTTCAGGATCGAGAGTTCAACAGGAATACTGAATACCTGCTAAAGTTAGAAAAACTACCATAGGCATTTGCTTTGTCTCATATGGTCAGTATGACCCTTTAAAGTATATGCCCTAAATGCAAATGCATTTGGAATTTGCCAATTCTTATGTTTACACAGTTTCTGGATGACCCATTGAAAGTAACAAGTACATATAATAGAAATCCTATTTATAATTCTTGGCTCACGTAGAAGGAGTTAGCATATATTTATCTAAAATCTTAAGAAAATCCTATATAAGTGTGAACAGCATGAGAAATCTCCACCAACAAAGAAGCTAATTGAACATCAAAGTAAGTAGACAGACAGATTCGATTCAAGCTCGAAGCTTCCTTTGTAACTTCTTGAGCTTCTATGTAACTAAATCAATGAAGTCGGGTGTGGCTCGTTTGTTAATATTCATGGTCTTTATTCATCTCACATCTGGTATTCAAGCCAGCACTCGTCTCCCATTTCTGATAAATGCTCAAACTCTGGAATCATATCAATACATCACCGTAACAGGTTAAGTTGCTCGACCTTTCCCTTTTAGACTAGATTTCAGTTTTCTATCTTGAAATCTTTATATCAAATGACATGAAAGAATAAGTAGATGATGAAATGAACTTACTATGTCGTTTATCTCATCCATAGGTTGTAATAATAATTGCGATATAGCTTGTTGTTATTGTGATATAAGAAAACAGCCACCACTCTGTGTCCAGTGCTGCAGAGAAGGCCTTTGATTCCTAGGTATGCGTCATTTGTCCACGCATTTTTTCTCTCTTTCCCAACCCCTCATTTGCACAGAAACGAGAAACTGAATTACGACGTGACAACTAGAAGAATAATGTTGTTTTGCCACATGTTTTTAACATCTTGGATGACAGATTAAGTTGTGGCAAAAAATGATTGGATGACATTTTTTAAACGGTCATTCTGTCATCCAAGATGTCAAAAAATTTTGACAGCCAAGCATGATTTCAATTAGAAAAGCTATTTTTCGAAAAAGTAATATAGAAAAGCCACTTGTTGTTTCATTTATTTGTTGAAACCGAGAATTACGTTAGTTCCTAGTTGAAACCCATGAAAAGTCCATATTAATCAAAGTCAAATATTTTGATCAAAAGTTTCCCAATTGTATTAAAATATTAAAAAGTACCAGGAATTTTTTTGGAGTTTCTACATATATACTTTTTGAAGAGTTTTGGTTTCTAAAACGCGTCTGGGAAAACACTGATGTCTTAGATGTTTCCATGCTTCATGCCCAACACGAGAGAAGGGAGTAGTACAGTCTCGACAAAGTTCATTTCAAGAGATGAAGCTTTCCTTTCACCGTTTCTTCATAATAAAATCGAGCACGTGCCTTACACAGACGAGCTTGAAAATCTAGAAGATCAAATTTGTATCTTTTAATGGGTTGTCACAGTGTGTGCAGGGCAAAGAAGAAACTAAGACGTGCAGCTCAAGAATAAAGCAATCACGGATTAAGCATGGGCAGCATATTCTCGATTTTTAGTTGCTTGCTTAGGACGTAATTTCACAGTTTACTCGTGAAGTGTAAAAATTAATTGAGACCAGTAAAAATCAAGACTGCAATTTATTTTTATTTTTTTTCAAATTTTTTTGTATATCTATATAATTGCTAACTTCGAAAACGGTCTCGTAGCCTAGTGAAGATTTTTTATTACATAAAAAGAGTCGATTTTTTTCAAATGCTTACATTGTTTAAAGAATATTAATCTTGGTAATGAAGCAATCAATACGGATGAAGACAATGATCCCATTGATGGTAACAATGAAGCAATCAATCACTAGAGTTAAGCAAATCGATATTACTGATATATTGCTGGAGAAATCTGCATCAAATATGTATAGATAGCAAACCATTTACAAATTTGATTTAGCCTTTTATAGATCCTATAATCATGGATTTCCATATAAGATTTGTCCTATATTTTGTATACAAGTAGTTGAATATCAATGAATTGGATGGTATTAGAGCCAAAACCTGCAAGCCTTGAAATTATGTCTTAGTCTTCCAACCAAAACAAAGAACCCACTCTTGGAATTCAAGCCTTCCACCAGTGCTCTAGCTTAATTTCAGTTAAACTAAGCACATCAAACCTGCTCTTTTCGCTTTCCCAAGTCACTCCCTTTATCCGTAGCCTTGGATTGTATCATCACCTTACTAGTGGTGAGAAACCAGAAGAGGAAATCGAAGATGATGAGAGCAAAAAAGTCCAAATCCAATGTACTAGCCATGGATCAAAAACGATGGACTACTTTCTTCATGGCTCCTTGGGACCATGAAGGAAGATGTCATGAGTTTAATCTACTGTGTGACTGATACCGCGTACAAATCTTGGCTTCCATTGAAGAACAATTACTCCCTGTAACTGTGGAGAAAAAATGACTTCTGAAAAATATGCTCATGAATATAAGAAAAAGGGACAAAATCCCTTCATGAGTATTTGAAAGAATTCTAGTCAACTGTGACAATCTCGCTGCCATCAAGAAGCCAGTTTCAGACCGCAACAAAGTATTCCAGTTCGCTCATGGCTTGGGTAAAAAATATGTGGATTTTTGAACAGCCATGCTTTCCAAGCCTCCATACCCTTCATTCAGCCAATTTTTATTGGTTTTACAGGGCCACGAACAAACTATACTTTCATTGAGAGAAGGGGAGAGGACATACTTAGAACATGCACAACCTTATTTTGGCCAAAGGATCGTGGTGGCAGAGGAAACTTCAACTCTCGAGGCGGAGGCATTACTCCAACCGGTTGATACAACTCTCAAAATGGTTGAAATTTTTTCACACAAATGCTGGACCATCAAACAACAATACAAAACCATAGCCCAAAGATGGAATTCCTGTTGGGCAACCACTCCAACATGAGATTAATCCTAGTGACAAACTTACTTGTCAAATTTGTGGAAGATCAAATCATACTGACATTGATTGCTGGTACAGGTTTGATTATTCACATCAATCCGACAATCTTCCTCAAGCTCTTATTGCATTCAATCTACATGCTTCAAACGATGAGTCATTTTATGCCGATTCTGGAGCTGCTTTTCATATGATAAATGATACAGGTAAGTTATCTTATATTGAACCATATAGAGGCAGTGATATGATTTATGTTGGAGATGGCAATTGTAAAATCTTACTATTTTTATAAGGGCTTAAATTTAATATTGCTCATTTAACAAATGAAATAGTCTATGTCTAGCCTTGTCGTCACACTAAGATCCAAAAGTTGAAGTGATAAACTCAACCAACTTATTTGTATAAAGGATTTATTTGCTTACGTGTACTTTTTTAGAATTTATCATAAATTTGGTTTGGGTCGAATATTTAAGTATTATAGTAGTTGATGAAAGATATCAAATATTATACTCATTTTGTAGCTCGTATTAAATAAAATAATTTGGAATAAGAAAAAAATAATTTTGAACTATTATGTCTGAGCTATTCTAATAGAAAAAAATTGTTATTTCCAATATTATATATATTATATATATATTTTTTAAAAGGGGAATATGCATGGTTCATGGATTCATACGGTTGCATTTGAAATTTAGCGTTCGTTTGGTGCTCATTTTTTGACTGTTGCATATTCTTTTTTTATTCAAAATTTCTGACATTGACTCGACAAAAGTCTATCAAAGCTCTTACACTCTTTTGTGCTTTACCAGTTTTATCCCATCACTCCAACTACCCAGTTTTCGGGAGTGTTTGACACCCATTTTAGTAGAAAAATGTGTTTTTGAATAGTGATTGATAGAAGAATGTATGGTTAAAAAGTAAGGAGAATTTTTAGGTTTATGTGTAATATTATTTTATTGATACAATGTGTAGTTAAAATGAAGAAAGAGAAAAAAATGAGAATGAAAATGAGAAAAAATGGGTGCCAAACGGGGGCTTCAAAAAATGCACCGTGATTTCTTTGCCATTAAAGGGGCATAATTGGAAAACAAAGACAAAACCTGCAGCAAATACAAAAGTCATTAAACGGTGGGCCAGGAATGATGTAACTGGAAAATGAATTCTCTCAAATTAAAATGGCTCCCAAACGGGGGCTTAATAATTTAAAATCCACTAAACTCATTAATCAAGGATAATGATACAGTAATTAACCCATTAAATCTTATTAACATCAAAAATACGTTTCAATTCCTAGAGTTGTGTGTCCTAGGAGTAAAGTGAATATATAGGTATTGAGGTGAGAAGTTTTTTCTTTACCCACACAGAAATTGTTGTTTCACACGTTTATTCACACTCATACTTTTGAAAAGAAGTATCATTTGATTTTACAAACTGTATTACAGAATTTCGTTGGTGTCAATTGAGGTAAGAATACATAGTGCAAAGTAGTAAATTCTTCTTTCTTGATGTTTATATAAATTTTGGCATGAAATACTATAAGGCTTTCGGGTCGATTTATATGTTATAT